AGACAGACAGACAGACAGACAGACAGACAGACAGACAGACAGACAGATAGATAGATAGATAGATAGATAGATAGATAGATAGATAGATAGATAGACAGATAGATAGATAGATAGATAGACAGATAGATAGATTATTGTAGAAGTTTTGCTTTTAATTCACCCTATGATTATTCATAATTAAAAGTATTCATAGCAGATCTACATTTTGTGTGTTTTACCAACCAGCTGGATGACATTTACATATCAGCACCAATATCTTATGACTGGAGTTATGTCCAAGCAGGATGTGAAATGAGCCTAAAATATGAATTGGTAACAGTTGCCTAAGGTTGAAATGTAAATTTGAATCTCACACCTTAGGAGAGTTAGTCCCTACAGTGTGAGCTCTATCTGTGTTCATGAACTCTATATAACATTCACAAAATTATTTTATTACTAGTACTACTTCCTACTACTTTCTTAAATAAATAACATTTCAAACTGACTTTTTATGTATGTAAATTTTATAAGAATGTTCTTCTTTCTGCACCCTTTTCATTCAGTGTTTTTCTTTTTAATAGATTTGTTTTTTTATTTTTTATGTTTTAAATGGATGAATAAAAAATAATAAAAATAAATAAAAATAATGCATATGTTTTTGTACAGTGTCCTGATATTACTTCTGTTGTGATTTGGCACTATATAAATAAACCAAATTGAATTGAAATAGTTTTATGTGCAATGTTTCTTATGTCATCGTAGTGTTGTTTTTATCTGTATTTTATAACTAGTAGCTTGGACTTCTTTTATCCATTTCTTTGTCAATTGTATTTTGTCTGAGACACTCAAAGCACTTTATATTAATATCTATTAATTTCACAGAGGTTACATTTATGTCCAATTTTATTTTGTCTTTTTGCACTTACTCTGAGCTAGATGCTTTTAGGTTTTACTTTAATTTTTAAAACAAGAAAATGACAAACTTTTCACAGTATTCTCTCTGTTTTAGGAACAATCTGCTTCAAACGTTTTTAAGCACTACTTCTCTCAAAATGAGCAGACTCTGCAGACAGCGCTGTGGGCAGCTCAATCTAAAACAAACTATTTTGGAAAGATGTGTAAAGTAATGCTTGATTCATTTCCCCCCCTCTTTTTTTAACTGTTCGTTGCATATTCAGCACATGTCACATGTTTTTTATGCTATATATGACAATTGTGTTAAAAGCAAAACTGTATGTGATAGTTTTAAATGACTTTGCTTTACCATGTCCTTGAAATTGTTAGTTTTTATTCAATTAGTATGGCTGAAAACGGTGATTCAATTCAATTCAATTCAATTCAAAAATACTTTATTAATCCCAGAGGGAAATTAAATAGATTAGATGATCGACTACTTGCCACTTTCTACTTTACATGTAATTCAATAACCTTATCCAACACAGGTTAAATGGAAATAAAATAATAAATAAATAATTTATAAAGGTAACCTAAGCACTTTGAAGTGACTGACGTGAAAAAGAGAATAGAATGACAAACAATGTTCCTTGCACCCATGATGATATACGGGTCAGCATATTGTCTCTTTACTTGACTTTGGTCTCAGTTTCATTTTCAAACAACAACATATTACAACAGTTTTGTGGCTCAAAACTTTCAAACAAACTCAAATACAAACATAACCCTATGAACCACACACACACACACAGATGCAGACACACTGCTGCCTACAGTCTAGCAGTGACACAGTGTAAGTCAGGGGTGAGCTCTCAGTCATTATTGGACTTTACAACTAGCTGGTTGGGTAGGCAGACTGGGAGAATCCCAACCCATCCTCCCCAGTTTCCGTAGAACTCACTCCTGGGAATGCCATGGAACAAAACACACTATCACATAGTCTGTTTCTTCACTGATAGGGCCTCTGAGATCCACATGCTCTTGCCACTATAATCTTAGCTTCACTAATGGTGAAAAGGGAAAGTGAGCACAGAGAGGTGGGCAGAGGATGCAAGAGAAGAGACAATTACATCCACATGGAGCCACAGGGAGGTCTTTGTCAGGCACTGTGGCTTCTGATAGTAGTATTATAGTTGCTTGAAGCCCAAGTGATAGTACTGAGTAATGGTTTGGCTGAAACACTGATTATAGTAACTACAGTAGCCAAGAAACAGTGGCTCAGTAAAACTGGAATGGTGTTTCAGGGGAGCTGTTAACAGGATCAAAGTGAAGCCATGGGACTTCAGAACAGACCATTGTTTATGAGGGAACCACTCACCATTGAGACACACTGACACAAACACTGCGGTTGAATTGTTTCCACTAGACAAATGTAATTTTATAGACTGCCATAGTAAATTTTGATAGGTTTATTAATGCTTTAAGAAACATCACATGCATCATTACATTTCTTTGTTCTAAAAAAAACCAAAAAACAAAAACAGACCTTCAAAATCTGACACCAATACCTTTCAGATACCATTACAAATTTACAACAAAAAATAATACAGACTTTTTTTTTTCTGGAAACAAAAAATGGCAATATCAGTGCCATATGAAAACAAGTCCAAGTGTATCAGGGGATAAATAGAGGACAGAGGGGAGGGCATTATGATAATGGCAGTGAGGAAGACCCCCATGTGTCTTTCAAAAGACACACTTGATATTTTAAAAGAAAATAGCTGCTGCCAGTTGTGTGATGTATGAGGGACATGAGAGAGTTCAAGAAAGACAAAAGACATTTTGAAAGACAGGATTCTAACTTAACATTTTTACTGATATGGGCTCAGCAATAATAGCTGTTGGCACATTCCACACTCCTAAAAAAAATAGATGAGAGAACACATTTTATTAAGCTTTGCCCAGCTTCCCTCAAAGAAAACGTTAGGTGAAAAATACAGTCTAGCTCACAATAGCAAATCAACCACTTTAATGTGAACATGTCAACTTTCTATTCAGCACTGTGTAAAACGAGGCAATTTTCATTTTGATTTATAGACAAATAATACTAGTGTTTCAAGCAGTGTTCTTTCACTGGTGCCTAAGGTTACAAAGCAAATTGAGATTTATTTTGAGAGTTGTTGCCAATGTGGCAGGACAGAATTGTATTTTTAATAATGCTAAAGAAATAAAGATGAAAAGTACATTAAAGAACATCTTGGAAACATCATTCATAATTACATTCTTCTTTTTAGTCAAAAGACTAAATGTCTGAGTTACAC